AAAGAAAGAAAATGATCAACTTTACAACTAATCAAGTAAATACAAATTAAAACAACAATGAAATAGTTTACATATCCAATTGGCAAAAATTTGTTTAAATTAAAAGAAATATGCATTTTTAAACTGCTGGTGGGAAGGTAAATTGATTCCATCTCTCTGGGGAGTAATCTGGTAATGCATATCAAGACTTTTAAGGGCTGGGCACGGTGGCTCACACCTGTAGTCCTAGCACTCTAGGAGGCCGAGGAAGGTGGATCACCTGAGCTCACCTCCATCTCTACTAAATAGAAAAATTAACCAGGCATCACAAGGGCACCTGTAGTCCAAGCTACTTAGGAGGCTGAGGCAAGAGGATCTCTTGAACCCAAGAGTTTGAGATTGTTGTGAGCTATGAAGCCACAGCACTCTACCCAGGGTGACAGAGTAAAACTGTTTACAAAAAAAAAAATTTTTTTTTTTAAGAAAAGTTCACACCCTTTGGGTTAGGGTCCCCAAGATCAATCTGAGATTCTGATTCACTAAGACTTAAAGAAATTAACATATGGTTTGTACTCATAGCTATGATTCATTACAGAGCCTCCTATCCTCTTCCTTTATTTCCCAGGCCCTGCTCTTGACCACTCAAGTACTCTTCAACCAAAGTCTTGATGGGTAATGCCTCTTTTGACAGCAAGGAACATACATTTTTTTAAGAGAGTTATGTGGATACAAAGAATGTGAAAGGTGTGGCTTGTGTCTTATATTTATTATCAACTTGGCCCATTCCTTCATTAGTTCTAGTTCATCCAGTTCCTTCCCTATATGCTTGGAATCTTGTCTTTTCTCCCACATCATTCCAACACATCATTCTCCGCTACTCCACCCTCTTTAGAATCAGTCCTGACCCCAACCTCACTGGGGGCTTAAGGTTAAGGTTTCTGAGAATAGGAGGGGCTTGAGAACTGGACCCAAAACGACAATCCTATTATACGGACAAAGAAACCCAGGAGAAGAGTAGTACATAAAGAAACAGGACACGTGGGAGAAGCACATGAGGGAATTTTTTCCCCCCAAAAGTACAAAGTATGTAGCTGAGAAAATTAATCTTAAATCAAGTTTTGCAACAAAAAATAGCTATCTTGGGTATTGCAGCTACGCATTCCCTTTGTAATCTCAGTCAAATAATATCCCGTCTGAAACCTCATTTTCTCTCTCTGTAAGATAAGGAAATAGAACCAGATAGTTTCTGAGGATCTTCCAACCCTAACATGATGGGGCAATGTACCCCGGAGATGTAATGGATGTCCTTCAACTCGGTCCAAAGCTCAGGGAGCAAAGACCCAGGGATGAACTGGAGTAGGGGAATAGTGGAGAGGGGAACTTGAATACAAAACTATGTATACGTGTGCGGTTTTCTGGGAAGGAGTCCAACACTATCAATGAGGTAGGTGGTTCAAAGAGCCTAAAGATCTGGATCTCAGAGACTTTCCAGTTTGGAAACTGCAAGGTTCCGGGACCACCTAATTCGGCCTGCACCTTCCCTTTCTGCCTCAGCAAGTAGGGACCTCTCGATCCGAGGGTAGCGAAGATCCACGTCTCTCGTCCCGCTCAGCCCTGGCCAGGAGTTTACCTGCTCGTAGGTTCTGGCCTGCAGCTCCTCTATGCCTCGTTTCCCGCCCTTAGGCGAACACGGCCGGGCCTGTCACCATGGGCGCCGCCATGTTGGCAGAACAACAACTTTATTGATAGCAGTCGCCGCAGACGCAGACAGGCGGGGGCGGAGCTGGCGCAGGCGGGAGAGGGCGGAGTACTTGACTCCCAGCTGCCCGTCGGGCGGGCGGAGGGCTCAGCCAGGCGAGCCCGGCTTTTAACCCTCGCACGGGGCACAGCTTTTATTTTTTTAATTTAATTTTTATTAAATCATAACTGTATACATTTATGGGGTACTATGTGATGATTTGATATGGAGTGCTTAAATCAAACTGATTAACATAACCATCACCTCGCTTATTTTTGGTGGTAACACATTTACAATATACTCTTAGTTGTTTTGAAATGTGCCCTTGCATTGTGCACATTAGGTGGGATCCCACCACATACCCTCTCTTCACCCGCCTTCCTCCTCCCCTCCCTTCTCCCTCTTCCCCTCCTTCTTTCTGAACTGTATTTGTGTGTTATCGTTGTATGAATATGTAAGTGATTATATATTGGTTTTATAATAGTACTACATGGCATACTTTGGGGGGTACAGCTTTTAAGCTGCACGCTTTGCTGCGCGTATGGCGTCCTCCAAACTCTAGACATCTGGACTTCAAATTACTACCATTATAGCAGGTGATAGCCCCAGAATACAGGAGGCGTCAGGTAGTGAAGTAGCTCAGACGTTAGGGTTCGGATCCCAGAGCAGCAACAACCGCCTCCTGGGTTTGAGCGGGTCTCTTGACTTGTTGACTGGTATTGGCTGTGCGCTGTGTGACGACTGAGGCACCTTCTTCCTCCGTATTCCATGATTGGCTAGTTGTGAAGGCAGGTGGGGGGAAATTACTAGAACAAGGGTAGATTGGAGGTAAAGTACTTTTCTCACCTGGTAAGTGGGCCAGGAGTCAGGAAAGCATTTCCTAGAGTAGTTTGTGCATCTCCATGCCCCACCGTGACCACTGCACACCTTGCAAGTGTTTCTTGCTT